GCCAGCTGTCTACACTGGCCGCTTGATTTTGCGCAAAAGCACTGACGTTCTATCGTCCAAAATCAGTGCTTCTTGCGCAAATGCTTTGACGTTCCCGTTCGGGCAAAAGCCCTTTTCCGGAAATGTTTTTGCACAAGAGGGCCAGTGTAGACAGCTAAAAACTGTTTTGCGCAAAAAAGCCCTGATGGCGAAAATGGCGATCGGGGCTTTCTTGCGCAAAATTGCATCTAGATTGGCACGGACGCTTTTCCGCAAAAAGTGCTTTTGCAGAAAAGCATCTGTGCCAATCTAGACGCTCTTTTCTGCAAATGCTTTTAACGGAAAAACTTTTCCGTTAAAAGCATTTGCGGAAAATCATGCCAGTCTAGACGTAGCCCTGGTGTTTAAAGCCCTGTGAGGCGAGGATGGAGGAAGGGGAGTAGCGTCTTGGTTTAAAACAGCAATTCCAAGTGGCAAGGGGAACAGCGAGGTCATGCTCAAGCTAGAAGGGGGGGGGCGAGGAGAGGTGAGATGCAGAAGGATTTGATGACATCACTCTGTTATCCCACAGGAATTTCTTTATAATATATGAGACACATTAATTTGCCCATTATCATGATCAGCCAAATACTCTGCACACAGTTTATTTTGTAGCAATATAACCTCAAGAACTCTATCTAGCTCTTTTTGGAACCTGTTAAAGTCCTGGTCTTCTCAACATCCTCTGGCAAGGAGTTTCACAGGTTGACTGTGCACTGTGTGATGAAAAAATTCCTTTTGTTTGTATTTAACCTGCTACCTATCCATTTCATTTGGTGACCCCTAGTTTTAATATTATGGGAATAAGTAAATACCTTTATTAACTTTTTCCACACCAGTCATGATTTTATAGACCTCTATCATATCCCCCCCTTAGTCTCCTCTTTTCTAAGTTGAAAAGTTTAAATCTTTTCAATATTTTTTTTAATATTTCTTCATTCCAAAGCCTTAATCATTTTTGTTGCCTTTCTCTGAACCTTTTCCAAGGCCAATATATCTTTTTAAAGATGAGGCGACTACATATGTATGCAGTATTCAAGATGTGGGCATACCATACTTTTATGTAGAGGCAATAAGATATTCTCTATGCCTTTCTAAATGATTTCTAACAATCTGTTTGTTTTTTTGACTGCCACTGTACATTGAGTGGATGTTTTCAGAGAACTATCCACAGTGACTCCAAGATCTCTCTCTTGAGCAGTTATAGCTAAATTAGTCCCCATCATATTGTGTATATATAGTTGGGATTATTTTTTCCAATGTGCATTACTTTACATTTACCAATTTCATTTGCCATTTTGTTGCCCAATCACTTAGTTTGGTGAGATCTTTTTGAAGCTCTTTCCAGTCTGCTGTGGTCTTAACTATTTTGAACAGTTTAGTATCTGCAAATTTTGCCACTTCACTGTCTATCCCTTTCTCCAGATCATTTATAAATAAGTTGAATAGAATTGGTCCCAGTACAGACCCTTTAGGGACACTACTAGTTACCTCTCTCCATTCTGAAAACTTACCATTTATTCCTGTGCTTTGTTTCCTATCTTTTAACCAGTTATCAGTCCATGAGAGGACCTTCCCTTTTATCCCATGACAACTTACTTTACTTAAGAGCCTTTGCAGAGGGACCTTGTCAAAGGATTTTGGAAATCTAAGTATACTACATCAAGTACATCCCCCTTCAAAGAACTCTAGTAGATTAGTAAGGCATGATTTTCCTTTACAGACACCATGTTGACCTTTCCCCAACAGATTATGTTAATCTATGTATCTGACAATTTTATTCTTTACTATAGTTTCAACTAATTTGACATTAGACTTGCTGGTCTGTAATTGCCAGGATCACCCCTATAGCCTTTTTAAAAAATATTGGTGTCACATTAGCTATCTTCCAGTCATCAAGAACAGAGGCTGATTTAAAGGATAGGTTAGACAATAAAGATGCTAGACCAGTTCCCAAACTTTTTGACACAGGGACCAGTAAATCCATTCACGAGCTTTTGGAAGACTGGTAACATTCATTTGCATATTCATTAAGCAAATGATGAATATGCAATTACGTTGTTTCTAGTCCTCCCAGTGCCAGCTTTAGAAAAGCTTTTGATATGGTGACCCACAATATTCTTGCCAGCAAGTTAAGGGAATATGGATTGGATAAATGGACTGTAAGATGGATACAAAACTGGCTAGACCAGGGTTTCCCAAATCTGACTGGTCCCAGATGAGGGATTTTTTTGGACCAGGGGAGGTCATTTCAGGTCTCCTGGTCATCGTCCTCCCCTGCAACCCAACTGAGCTGCCCACCCCCACTGGTTCCCTGGACCTCCCCCAAAACCATCCCCCACAATCCAAGGGAGTGCAGCACCAGTTCCCTGCAACCCCTCACAGCCCAGCTGAGCTGCCCTTCTGTTCCCTATGCCTTCCACCATCCACCTCAGCCCAGTTGAGCCCTGCACTGGTTCCCTGCAGACCTCCCCCACAGCACAGATGAGCCCCAGTTCCCTGCACCTCCCCCCAAACCCCGCAAAACTGCTGAGCCCAGCTCTGATTTCCTGCCCCTCCCTCCCCCTTGAGTCTAGCCCCGGGTTCCTAGGTTCCCGGCACCTCCCTCCTCCTGCAGCCCAGGTGAGCCCAGTGCCCTGCACCTCCTCCCCCCCCCCCGCGTCCGCCGCCCCCCCCCCACTGCCTGCAGCCCAGCCCGGCACCCCCCTAGCATCAGAGGAGTAGCAAGGGTGTTATGCAAAAGCAAAATTTGTGCCCCCCCTTTCCCTGCCATGGGGCAGGGCCCTGACCCTGGCACATGGCTGAGCCGGACCCTGAGAGGAGCGGGGAGCTTATACTGCATCTTCCCTCACCCCCTCCAGTTTGGGTCAGGCCCCACATGCACTATCCACAACAACATATGGAGGAAATCGATCATCTCAGTAATGCCAACTCCTTTAGAACTGAGGCCTGGATTATCCAGGACAAGTTGAGGTAGAGAGGGCACTGTGTGTACATCTGATACATTTTTACCAAAACTGCTACCTGCCCAACTTGCCAAAGGAGAAAGGAAACAGAGAGGCCAAAAGGAATGGTTTGGAGCAGTGTTTCTCAACCTTTTCTTATAAAGTACCCCCTTTTTAAAAAAATTATCAGTACCCCCAGCACAATTTTCAGACACACACACAAAATTTCTACCATTGCAACACATTTGTTTAAACAACTTAATCATAGCTGGATGGGTGATGAAAGTTCTGGGTGTAAAAAGTATAAAAATAATAAAACACTGAATAATTAAACCAAAAATTCAGTTTTCTCCAAATTTCAGTTGTGTTGATGTACCCTCCAGACTTCTCTCAAGTAACCCTGAGGGTATTCATACTACTGGTTGGGAAACACTGGTTTAGAGAAGTGTTTTTCAACTTTTTTTTATAAAGTACCCCATTCAAAAAATTATAAGTAATCCCAATGCACCCACCCCTCCCCCAGATCCAGGCATCCCCAGCCCCACTGCTCCAACCTAATGTTCCTTTTGCCCCAGAACACCCTCCCTGCTCTAATCCGATGCCCATCCCTCAGAACCAGGTACCCCCAGCTTCCCTGCCCTAGCCCAATTCCTCTCCCCCTTCCGCAGAGCCAGGCAGGGTAAGCCTATCTGTAAAGTGGCTGCTCCTGCCGCTTGGCTCTGCCTCAGAGGCTTGATTGCACAGGGAGCACGTGGCCCGACAGTGCTTGTGTAATGTAGAAAGCTGCTACCTTATAGGAATTGTGCTACTGGTACCCTCAAAAAATGAGGTTTACAGGATCTTTTGAAATGGGGCATTTCTGTAGAACGATCCCCGTTTTGACTGCGGGTTTTTTCCGAAAAGCGGCTTTTGGAAAAAAAGCCTCAGCTGCCATTATGTTAATGAAGCATGGGAAATTCAAATCCCAGCTTCATTTACAATTTTGATATGTCTAATTTACATCCCCTTATCGAAAAAGGGATGTAGTTTAGATGTACCCTTACAAACTACATTTGTTAGTTCCGCAATTTCACATTTGAGTTCTTTCAGAACTCTTGGGTGAATGTCGTGATCTTGAGCCAGAAGTATGCAAATGAGGCTAAGTGTGGAATAGTGCTGAGCCTCATTTGCATATCGAATGAGCTGCCATTTTGTGGAAGAGGCTCTTGCGCCAGAAGGAGCTGTCTACATTGCCCCTTCTTGCGCAAGAAAAACCCTCTTGTGCAATGCCGTTATTCCTGAAAATAATCAGCATAACGGCATTGCGCAAGAGGGTTTTTCCACGCTTAGCCTCATTTGCATACTTCTGGCACAAGATTGCGCCAGTGTAGACATAGCCTTGGAGACTGGCAGCTGGATTATATGGACCACAGCCCTGATTTAGTATGTCAATTCCTATCATCAGGTCCTTGGTTATTTAGTTCCATTTTGGGACTTACTAATAAATCCAATTGGTCACCATTGTTCAAATGAATCTTTAATTAAAAGAGGGCCTTTTAACAAACGGTTGTTAAAAAATGCCTTGTTTTGTGAATAGTTGGTAATTGGACGAATGGGGGAAGTTCAGCCTAGGGGACAGAGAGGATGATTGTGAAATTGCAGGGCATGATGCTGAGTCTCATCTCGGATCTCTCCTGTAGCCCTGCGTTTGGACACTTTCTCTCCACCTTACCATAGAAAGCGGGAGCGGCAGGGGAGCGCCGAGCGAGGCTAGGGCTAGCACTGACTCGCAGAGCTTCGTCCCGGGCATTCTCCTCACCCCGAGTTTATTGCAATCTCTGCACAACTTTGCATGGGGGGGAGAAAGGGGGCGGGACGATCACGCTGCGGGCTCGTGGCCGCTCGGCCAATGACCGCGCGCCTCGCAGCACAGCGACCAATCAGAACGCGGGTATAAACAGACTCGTGCGACAGGGACCAGGTCGCTGAGTGTGAGTATTGCCCGGTGCTCGAGTCCGCGAGGGACGCAGCGCTGGACCAGGGCAGCAGGAGCAGCGCGAGGCATCGCTCAGCCATGGACGCTGCGAGGCAGGTGGTTAACTTCAGCGCCGGGCCCGCAAAGCTGCCGCGCTCTGTGAGTACCCGGGATGTGCTGCAGCTCGGCGCGGGGGCGCTGGCAGAGGCAATAAGGTGGCTCCAGGCACCAGCAGGTCCCCCGGGAATGGAACGGATGCGGGGGCAGGGGGCGCGCTCGGGCTTGCTGCGAGGGGATCGGTGTGACCCGTGGCTGTGAGGGGTCCGACTCCTGTTTGAAAGCAGAGCTCGTTCTCCTGAAGCTCAGACTGTGGTTACGGGAGAGCTCCCCTCTCAGGATGCTGGCTCCAGTGCCTACGGTTTATGCAATTCCTGCATTGCAGGTGACTTGTTTTCCTGCTCGCCCAAACCAAGTGGGTATCCACTTGGCCTCTCCCCTTGCCTGCATGCATGTCATCGATGATTAATTTTGTTCTAAGGTGAGAAACGCAGTACCTTGCTTTCAGGCACGACGCTTTGGTCAGTTTTTGTGGCATATTGCTGTTTGGAGAAATGGGCAGATTCCCATTTGGCTGTCGTCATTGCAGATCTGCAGATTTGTGAATAAATGTAAGATGTTAAAACAACAACTCCTCTGTACTACTAACATATCAGCAAGTTTGCTTTCTAGAAATACATCATAACTGCTGGGAAAAATAAATGGTCAAAGTAATCCAGTTCTAACTGCAAAATCTGATAATTTTGTAAGTAATTGTTGGATACACCACTTTCAGTGTGGAAGATAAATATTTGCAGATACTTAAGTTTCACTACAGCGGATTAATGCTCAAGATACATAAATGAGCACACTTAAATCAGTTTTATATGAGTGACATGATATCTAAAATATAGACACAACCCTTTGGAAAGTTGCATCAGCAGCTATCAGTTATCCAGTTACATCTGGGAGGAGGAGTGGTTTATGCTAAACTTAAAGCTTTCAGTTTTCCACACAATGGTTATGTAGTGTCAGCATTTTTGTCTTCAAGCGTTCTGTGTCTGGATTTGTTCTAATACATTCTTGTTATGTAGCTGCTGTTCTTTCTCAATGTCAGTTGTCTATGGAACAGCGTTTAATGGAATTTCTGGAAATGTTTTGTAGTATATCTATTGTAGCTTATCTATTGTACAGCATTTGGACAGTTCAGGAAAGCACTCCCTCATTAATGTTACTCTGTCTAATCCTACAGTTATTTAACTGCTAAGTATGAGTAGTCATGTGAAGTATATGGAATTATTTATGTGACTCTTTTGTGAGCGAGGGGGAGAGGATCAGGCACTACAATTTGTTAGTCTGGTTTTGCCCCCACTGGTTTGAAAATTGCAATGGACTGTTTCACTTCACTTTCAGTAGAGCCTACTCCTGCTTTTGTGGCATTCCCTAACTCCCATTGAAATAAGGGAATGCCAGGAGTACGCTGTTGACTTTTGCAGATTTGTTTTAAGATGGTAAGGAGGGGGGAAAAGAGAAGCATATTCTTTTTGAAAAGTAATCTTCTCCTCCCTCTTCTCTTTTTAATACAAATACTCCTGAAATAATGTTACTAATACATGAACAGCGTTTTAATTGAATTCTTAACAGATCTTTTATCTTGCTTGTCTTTTGATCATTTTTCCCTCCTGAGCAATCTATATGTGCTGTCCCCTGGTCCAAAGTTCAGTCTGCAGATGTCAAAAGTGACACTCTCTTCCAGATATGCCAGTTGGTGACAACCTGATGCCATTAAAAGATCATCCAGAGTTCTTATTGAGAAGGCAGTCTGCTTAATTTGTACAATTCTCTAGTCTAGAGCATGTTTCCTTGGCAAATACATAATTAGTGTGCTTATATTTGCCAAGATGAGCTCTTTGTGGAGTTCTTCACTCCTTTAACTTTCTTTGGGGAGGGACAGAATTTTTTGTGAGTTAAGAATTATTCTTCAGCTGCAGGCAGCATGGTTTAATGATTAGACCCTAAGTGTAGCTCACTGGTGAGGATATGCTGGGGCATCAAGTCTTTTAGGCCTGAACTTTTAAAAGTAACCTGTGGTGTGGAGTTGGGGCGGAGGGGAGAGGAGATAAGAGGGGGAAGAAACTTATTTTATTTTTGGGTGCCCAACTTGAGACACCTTAAAGAAATTTGTGGTCCAAAAAGCAAGCCTTTTGAAGTTGCCTTTGCATCAGTGACTCAGAATTCAAAAGTTTGCTTCTGTCCATAACTGTCAGAACCTTAGTTTCCCCATCTGTAGAATGTAAATAATACCAGTTTGCTCTTATAAAGCATTTGGACATCCTCGAACAGGAGCTAATATATGCTCCAAGTGTGTTTTTTATTAAATCATCATTAGAGCTGGAAAGGTCTAGAAAACCATGCATGTACCATAATAGTCTGGACACTGAATCATAGAATTATGACAGTAGATGAAGAATATTCACAGTGGGGTCATGATTGATTTGATTATCCCATCATATGATAAACCCTTAACTAATAGATAAGGTGAAGTTATAGTAGTATCTGAACTTTCAGTAATTTTATAATGAACTGAGAAATGTCACATTGCCTCAATATGCAGTAGTTGGGATATTTATGCTCCAGCATTGACACATTCAGTAGTGCCAAATTGATTGTTTTGTTTTGTTAGGTTTTGCTGCAAGCACAGAAAGAATTGGTGAACTATAAAGGACTTGGTATTAGTGTTCTTGGTAAGACTTTTTTTAAAATTCTGTTTGTTTTATTGATTTTAGAAGTTTAGCTTGATCGAAATGTGTAGCTAAAAAGTTCTTATACTTATTTCATAATCTAAGTGTCCCATTTCCTTTTAAAATTTCATATCCTTTTAATTTTTAGAAGGACCTTTGAGTCCTGAGGATGCTTTGCTGTCCCTCGAGGAGGTAGCAAGCACACAGCAGAAGCAGAGAAATGGCTGTCCAGGGGGGTCCCTTTTAGCTCATGTTTCTGCAAGGCTCCGACACCAGCACTCAGAAGCAACTGATGACCTAAAGCCCTGCCTGAAGTGGTTCTGGGTGGCCTTTCATGTGAGAGAGCGTCCGATCAGTCTGGACATTCTCTTTCGCAAAAGCACATTGCTTTTTCTATGTGCTTTTGTGTGTGGACGCACTCTTTTGCAAGATTTTTTCAGAAGATCTCTTCCAAAAAAAGTTTCTTGTGCAAGAATCCTGCAGTCTAGACGTAGCTTCTGTGGTCCTGCAGGAAAAATTTTTTAGAGAGAGATTTTTTGCATTCCAAGTTCACCCATTTTGAGAAGAGAATATAATTACTTTAATATTGTAGAAAGCTGGTATCTTTTAGAAAAGAGTTGCCTTGTTTGGGAAAAGTCAACAGAAAATTCTCCACTAGCAAAATTTTATTTTGCCATTTGAAAAATAGTGAAACGATTCTCACTATTTTTTTCCTTTTCCATGTTTATCCTGAATAAATTGTAGTTAAACTCTTTAAAGGGTTTAGTTAGCATGTGAGTGTAACTATATAGGATGGTGATTGTGTCAAACTTATAATTCCATTTTTATTGCTTCTTAAACAAGCACTCATCCTGTATCAGGGACATTTTTACGTATTTTCAAAAGTGAGTGATCAAGACTGCCATCATGGTCTAAATTCCAAAGTCCTGCATTATAGCCCTTGATAAACTCCTTTATCCCCATAGCTCTTCTCTTCCTGTAAAGTACCACAGGAAAGATGAGTTTAATAGTGTTTGAAAGCTATTGCATTTGGACTCTGATGGACTAACCATTCTAAATAGATGGTCAAGTAACTTTCAGGCCCCAGCAAATATGCGTAGATGGCAGCAAGTAGGACCACATTTGAGGGCATATGTTAAGTGTTCGGTACCCAAATGTAATACAGGCAGTCCCCGGGTTACGTACAAGATAGGGACTGTAGGTTTGTTCTTAAGTTGAATCTGTATGTAAGTCGGAACTGGCTTTTAGAAAGCCCTCCGCGGCTTTGCTCTGCGTCTTCCTGGTCTGCAGACCAGGGAGACGCAGAGAAAGCCCCAGAGTACACGGGCGGCAGGACCGCGAGGTCCCGCAGTCCATGTACTCTGGGGCATCCCTGTTCGTATCTGCGGATCCGACGTAAGTCGGATCCGCGTAAGTTGGGGACTGCCTGTATATTGTTTTCCTCTCTACGCTAATCATCCAGAAGAAGGCTATGGAGTGACATATGGACAGATTTTTTTTATATTTTATTGAACCTACACTGAGGCCCAGAAGCAAGGAACTCAGCCAGTCATAGCTAGGATTTCTGGATCTTTGTGAGATGTTTGTTCATTAAATTTGACAATGGAGAAGAAATGTCTTTTTAGTACCCCTGTATTATATTTGTATATATTGTAGAAGCCTCCCAAATTTATATGATGCTGAGTTTGTTCCCACTTAAGAAGGAAATGTGTCATCCCATTTGCTGTCTTTTGTGCCATATGCATGGCTGTTCAATTTTCAGAGCCCAAGCTTGCAAAACAAAACAAAGTTATTCAGTGCACGTTATTTTAAGGACCTTAGTAGTCTTGCTTGATAGGATCAGGGCCTTATTTTGTAATAAGTCATGAACTTCAACATATATGTAGTGAGTGAAGTTCTGATAATGAGAATTAATATGAATGATTCTTTGCTCTTCAACAGGATTATGGAACAAAGAAGCCCCTTAAAACTATGCTTTGGTTACAGAGCAGCTCTATACAGGCAGTCCCCGACTTACGCGGATCCGACTTATGTCGGATCCGCACTTACGAACGGGGCTTTCTCGAACCGGAGCTCGAAGGCAGTGGTCAGCCACCTCGACCTCCGGGGCGAGAAAAGTTGCTCCCGGTGCCCCTGGTCTGCTGGAGACGGTCCCCAGCAGACCAGGCTTTTGTTGTGGACCCTGGGGCAGAGCAGCTGGGGTGCTGCCGGGTTGGTCCAGTAGTGCCCAACCGGCAGTGCCCCAGCTGCTCTGCCCCAGGCGTCCCCAAGTCAGCCGTTGCTGAAACTGACCAGCAGCGGCTGAATCAGGACGCCTGGGGCAGAGCAGCTGGGGTGCTGCCGGGTTGGTCCAGTAGTGCCCAACCGGCAGTGCCCCAGCTGCTCTGCCCCAGGCGTCCCCAAGTCAGCCGTTGCTGAAACTGACCAGCAGCGGCTGAATCAGGACGCCTGGGGCAGAGCAGCTGGGGTGCTGCCGGGTTGGTCCAGTAGTGCCCAACCGGCAGTGCCCCAGCTGCTCTGCCCCAGGCGTCCCCAAGTCAGCCGTTGCTGAAACTGACCAGCAGCGGCTGAATCAGGACGCCTGGGGCAGAGCAGCTGGGGTGCTGCCGGGTTGGTCCAGTAGTGCCCAACCGGCAGTGCCCCAGCTGCTCTGCCCCAGGGTCCACAACAAAAGCCTGGTCTGCTGGGGACCGTCTCCAGCAGACCAGGGGCACCGGGAGCAACTTTTCTCGCCCCGGAGGTCGAGGTGGCTGACCACTGCCTTCGAGCTCCGGTTCGAGAAAGCCCCGTTCGTAAGTGCGGCTCCGACATAAGTCGGCTCCGCGTAAGTCGGGGACTGCCTGTACTGAGAATAATAAGGGAAAACTATACTTGAATTGTTTCCAAAAACACAATTAAAAGGGAGGGTGTTAGAGAACGGACCAGTAAGTCTGGAGATCTCGGTTTTAATTCATTCTGCGACTGCTTTGAGGTTTTGCGCAATTCACTGGGCCAGATTTCAAACTTTGATGGCTAGCTCCACAATTAGCTATCTTAAAAATTTTCCCTGAACTTCAGAGATGTAGCGCACCCACGTATGAGATGGAAATTAACTGATGCCTGTCACATCTAAAAGTCAGGTCCCTTATTCGGCTAAACTTCTGTGTTTGAAAAATCAGGGGATAATACATACAAGGTTTTTTAGTGGGAACTATATGTGAACAAAGTATTAAATATTAAGTATTGTAGTTTACATCGGGGATAGCTGGCTTATAAATGTTTTAGAAACTCAGTTTGTGTGTTATGGTTTTATTTCACATTATCTCTTTTTTTTTCTACCCCACAGAAATGAGCCATAGAACATCTGATTTCTTAAAAATTATAAACTCAGCTGAAACTCTCTTGCGTGAATTGCTGTAAGTTTTTAAAAACTAAACTCTTAATATGAAGGGATTTCACATAAAAGCACCATTTTTCAGATATTATAGTGACATAAACTGACATTCCATTTGCTAGTTTTGTTTTATCATAGTATGTAGGTTAAACTTTCCATATTTTTTTAATAAAATCTGATTTAACTCAAAATAGCATGTTTTAAAAACTTATGTCTCTAATGATTATAGATTTCATAAAGGACAGCGACCATGGTATATTGGGAGAAATTTGTTCATTCACAGAAACTGCATGTTCAAATTAACTGTGTAATGCACAAAAGCAAGAGTGCAGATACCTGCATTCATAGATTGACTGGAAACTTGGGTGTATCTTAAGATGATTAAGCGAGAACTTTCTGTCTACTTGTGATGCTTATCTTTCTGACACTAAAACGAATGTGTGTATTTGTATAACTTATAGGAATTTATTTAAATCTTTTGTTATAATATCTCTTCATATAAAGGTTTTTTTTTTTTAAATTGTACACCTAAAATTCAAATGGAATTACACAGTTAATTTGAACATGCAATTTCTGTGACTGAATGAACAAATAATCAATTTACATGCATCTGGCAGTTTGTGCATGCAAATCGGACACAATTGCATGTACAAGTGTTTCAATTGTATTCTTAAACTTGAACTCCACTTTTTAAATTAGTTTAATTGTACAGTTATCAGAAATCTGTCTTGACAGTAGTCTAGTCTGTAAATCTTTGCCTTCATGAGTCTATTCTTTTTTATCCAAACAGATTACTTGCATTGTCAGAAACATATCTTACAAGAAATGAAAAAGTATGGTTTTTTTTCTTTGAGACTAACGATAAACAAAGCCATTCATGAACACTAATTCTATTGTAGTACATATACCCCATCTTACTTACTGTTTGTGCATGTTACAATAGAATTAGTACTAGTGAAAGGCCTGGCTTATTGTTAGTCTTACAGAAAATCTTCCTTATTTCTGACAGTCTTAAAATCTTTTATATTGACCATTGAAATGGCTCCTAATGACTAGATCAGACTAATATGAAGCTAAATTAACTTTTTGCTCTTTAAAATGACTCTACCTAGAGCTGATAAATCTTTCACAAGACTTTTGTGGTAAGAGTGTCCTGAATCCTGGGCATAGTTTTGTTTGAAATAGAAAACTATATTTCCTTCTTTTACACAGAAATATACCAGAAAACTACAAAGTCATTTTCCTCCAAGGGGGTGGGTCTGGCCAGTTTAGTGCTATCCCACTTAACCTTATTGGACTAAAAGAAAGAAGATGTGCAGATTATGTGGTTACTGGAGCATGGTCAGCAAAAGCAGCTAAGGAAGCAGAGAAGTATGCCAAAGTGAACATTGTTCATCCTAAACTTGGAAGTTACACAAGTAAGTTGATGTTTAGCTTGTTGCATATCAAAATACAGTAAAACTCCGATGGTCCGGCATCTGATGGTCCGGTACTCCTGATGGTCCGGCACCATCAGGAACCCGGAAGTGCTCCGGGCAGCCGGACCATTGGAGCTGCTCTGCCCCCAGGTTCCCCGATTCAGTCACTGCTAAAACTGACCAGCTGCTGAATCGGGGACACCTAGGGCAGAGCAGCTGGGGTGCCGCCGGGGTGGTCCAGTAGCGCCAAGGAGAGGTGCTGCGGCAGGCCCCAGCTGCCCTACCCCCGGGGTGAGCCACAAAAGA